GAGAGAGAGAGAGAGAGAGAGAGAGAGAGAGAGAGAAAGAGAGATCGGGCGAGCGGGGGACAGGGTTCGGTGGCGATCGGGACTAGGGTGCTGATGAAACAGTTTGAATCATGATGACTTGGATACACACGGATTCTTTCTATTGCATGTTTACTTTTGCCTGATTGCGGTAAAAACAAGACAAACAAACAAGCAAGCAAACAAACAAACAAACAGACCACAAGCAAACAAAAAACAAACAAACAAAAGAGTAACCAATCAACCAAACAAACAAACTAACAAAAAACACCCAACAACAACAATAAACCAACAAATTGCTCTGATTATTCGTCTCAAGTCTTTGTTTACTGGCCAAGGAGTTGGATGGCCAACAGAATCTAAAAAGCCATTCACAAAGGTAACCGCAAACTAAGGTTCCGAAACATTTTCTTTGATATTAGCCTAAAGTGAGTTTTTTTTAAGAAAAAAAAAAGAAAGAAAAACACCCCAGCATACACTTGTTGTTGTTGTTGTCAAATCCTTTTAGCTGTGAACATTTCGCTCTTGGAAGCGAAATGCCTCCCCCAAGAAACCACATGTCATTATATATAGAATACACTTAAAACATAACCTTTTCAAATGAAAACCACGCTTATAAACATGCTTATGAAACATGGTCTAACAGACGGGTAAGTAAACATTAATCTCGACTCACGTGGAGACGTCTTTTGGTATACCGTGTTGAAACAAAATCTACAAGCTTACACTGAAATCGCTGTCTCAAAATCAACAATCATTTATAGGCAAGGTTAATGTAAATCATTTATTGTAGAAATCAAGTGTATGCACCAACAGGGGGGTGTTTGATGTAGGGTCCAAAAAGAAAAAGAAACTTTTTAAAATGTATTACCGTAGAAAGATTAGTAAAAAAAATTGTTTGGACCCATGAAAAGTTATGTGCCCACTCTGAAAATTAATACAAGAACTATAGAACATGTTTAACAGACAGACGAAATTGAAAAGGCAATGAAGTCCGAGTTATCAACTGTCGCATTCAAGCTGATTATAGTTTACAGGCAAGGCTTAAAGTTGATGATACTTTACATGACAGTCATGGATATGAAAATCCACAAGGTATAAATGAATGTGTTTGTGGAGAATCATAGCCATTCGCTATTTTATTTGTACAAACAAGAAGACAGCTGGATTGCCCCCTCACTTTATCTTTCTCAGTCTCTCTCTCTCTCTCTCTCTCTCTCTCTCTCTCTCTCTCTTTCTCTATGTCTCTGTCTCTGTCTCTGTCTCTCTCTCTCTCTCTCTCTCTCTCTCTCTCTCTCTCTCTCCCTCTCTCTCTCCTCTCTCTCTCTCCCTCTCTCTCTCCTCTCTCTCTCTCTCCTCTCTCTCTCCCTCCCTCCCTCCTTGCCCCCTTTCTCTCTCTCACTTACCTATTCTTTCTTTTTTCCTTATACATTTACGCTCTCTGTTGCTCTCCCTCCTCCCTCCGTTCACCATCCCATACGTTTATTCCTTGGTCTTCGTCATTTTATGCAGAAAGCCGTGACTGAGTTCGATTCCCAGACCATGAGGCCCGTTTTAACAAGTTGGTATCTCCGTCTTTCTTCTGGGATGCCGTATCCCACTCAGCTAGGGTTGGCTCTGTCATACTGGGTCGAAGCAGCCCGCCTACTAAACATATAAACTGTGTCAATGGAGGCACAACAAACATTTCTCTTTACACTTGCTAAAATAAAGCTTTGAGTTCAAAGAATCAGGATATTGTCTTCATCATGCATGCCCCCAAAATCCTGGAAAAGGGAGGTAATCCGCGATAAAGCCGCAAAGAAAAGGAACACAAGTATGTTACCTTACTACACCCAATCGTTTAATTGGTTATGCCCCTTGAACTATTCGTGTTTTTTTTCTCTCTCTCTATTAAAAAAAAAAAAAGTGTTTTACGGCGCCTGCAACTGCATAAGGTCATATTATGAGCGCACAGGACACGTTCAGTTGGAAGGAAATACTGAACTTTGCTCGGGTGGCGGCCGAAGCCTACTGTTATCGATTTTGGACCACCAAGGGATCATTAACGTGTGCAACTCGCACACGCGACCTCTGAGATTTTTCGTCTTTGTCTGAGAAGGCGAGGTGTAGATCTTTCCTACCATAAGATCAGGGTGAGGCTAAAAGACAGCAGCAAGAAGGAGCCAAGGAGTAGCAGTAGAAAGGCTACAGCAAGAGTCAGTACCCCAGAGGAGGGGACAAAGGAGGTTAGAGGATGGTGGCAAAAAGTGTAGACGAAAGCAGACGACAGAAAATTGTTATAGAACAGGGAAGGATGTGAAAGGAGAACATTTTAGAGAAGAAGATTTTCCGTCGCTGTCCGGATTCGAACCTTGTACCCTTGAACGTGAGGTGAACACCTTAACCTCTAAGGCCACGAGAGACTCCTTTCTCTCTCCACTGGACAAAGAAGTCTGTCTTTTAAATCATAATAAGAGCTTTCAGCATGCGTAACAATGTCAGCACGCATTATCAGCACGTCACGGATCTCCCTGAATAGTGTTCGCTTCGAGTGATGGAAACGTTATAGAGCATGTCGGAGAGCGTTGATGTGCACAAGACAATGTAACCATAACAATTCAATCATCATCATCATTATTATTATTATTATTATTATTATTATTATTATTATTATTATTATTATTACAGTTTATCTCTAGGGATTATAACGAGTAGGCAATGTTTTCCTTACCTAGTTAAAAGCACTTATTTTTAGCGGAAGGTACATCCAAGCTGCAAGAAGATGTTAACACTAACTTTTAAGGCTTAAGCAACTACATGTGTATCTTACATTTTAAATGACATCGGTAGTCTAGTCGTTAGACTATCGGACTCGTCATCGTGAGGTTGCGGGTTCGGGGCGAATTTTTCCCACTTCACCAAGGAGGGAATGGGTACCCGGTCGTTGAGAGAGAAAGATTTTGTCTTTTGGTTATACAGTATTGTTTTAGCGTCAGTAACATTGCAGAATACACTATATGCTCCCTACGAAGTTGAGATTTTTTCAGAATGTTATCAGGTCTGCTGGGGTAATAATATAGATTGTAAAGTGCATAAAGCTTGCTGTTGAGCTAAAATCTGCGCTAGCCTCTTAACATTATTCCATGTCTTCCCATTTTTCTGTACATCGATGTATGTGACTCTTTTACAGGTAATTCCCCGTGGGCTTCCCCTTGATCTTTTACCCCGTGAGTTCCAATCCAACACTTTCCTTGTTATACAGCTACCTGACTTCATGAGAGTATTGGGGATGGGCGGTTTTTAGTAAATGAAGTGTGTGTGTCCTAACCAAGTTCGTCTTATAACCTTCTTCTCTTTTAAAAACAACTTTTCTTATGCCCAAGGAGCAAGTGGCTGTGTAACTTCTCCCTTCCCCACCCTCACCCTGAACTCTCTCATCCTGAGCACTGAGTTTCATACACTAATGGCCGTTTTTCCTGCGATAGCATAGTTCAATCATTTGTACAAAGTTTCTGGAGGTTCTATTCGGTATTCTAGATGCAAGGCTGCCGGATTTTCATTCATGAGGGTGCTGGTTCGAACTCCAGGCTAAAACAGCACCTGGACATGGATGGCTGGTGCCTCTATAAATAAATCATTAATGGTTCGAACTCCATTCTGGGCCTGACATAATAACTCTTCGAAAGGCGCTACACAGAAATAGTGAATGGGCAGTTGTAAGGGGTTTAACACCCCTTTACTTTCAACACCGTAAGGTTTATTGAAAGGTGGAACCTCTGAATTTTACCACCATCTGAGACTTAATGGATCCAAGTGGTTAGATATAGCCTGAAAACTCATAGAATAGGTGCTACACACACACACACACACACACACACACACACACACACACACACACACACACTCAAATCCACAAAGAAAACACACCAAAGAACGAATCTCAGACAAATGTAATTATTTATACTGCTTTATCCACTATAGACGTTTTACCAGCACAATGTTAAAACAAAAACATAAAATGACAGATGTACAAAATCATTTTCATTTGAAAGCATGTCATGTTCATAGATAGCATCGTAAATCACAACTCTGATGGTCAGTTAACACGGAATAAAAACAATTATACTGTTGTAAATGTCGCATATGTTTCTTTTCTGGAGATAAAGAATAGTCCTGATTTTCTATCATATGGTCATTATCCTCGTCGTCGTTGTCACTATCGTCGTCGTCATCATTATTACCATTGTCGTCGTCGTCGATATAATAATAATATTAATCATCATCATCATCATCATCATCATCATCATCATCATCATCATCATCATCATCGTCGCCGTCTTCAAACAAGCACGTTTCTTAAACCAATAGTCTGTGAGTCTGACTATGTTCTGGAGTTCACCCAAAGCATTTTATTTGCCACTTCGCTAGCCTAGAATTACAACGTTCTCTCTGCTCAGTACCTAGTTTTGAGAAATTTGACGTAAAAATGTTCAGTTCCACAACGTGCCATAAGGCTTGTTCAAACAATCTTACGATTTTGATAGAGCAGGCAAAACATTTGGTTTCTGACCTCATGGTCTAAGTTACTTAAAACGGCCACCAATTTCAGGTAGAACTTTGTAATTCTGAGGTAG